CAAGGAAGTATATTTTGAAAAGTTAACCAGCTATGTGTTGATAGTTTATTTTTCTGAAGTAATATTAGATTTATGTGCAGAGTGTTGGCATAATAATGTTTGGAAAAAGCTGTTTCATTGTGGGGCTTCAGTTCCATGCGTTTAGTTTAAACAAGACAATCTGTTACCCTTATTAAGGGTGTGGTGTATGTGTCATTAAATTTCATCATTCAAATATTTATCAATGTGGATTTTGTATTTCTTTTGTGTATTTATCAATGTGGACATGAGAGCATTGGCGTTTTATAAAATATGTGATGAGAAAGATGATCTAAAACTGTCCACAGCAGCCTGATTAGAGAGGACAAAGGACACAAAGCCAGACGGCTCAGAGGTGCACAGGAAAAGAACAGGAACCAACAGACACACTTTGGATCATGGGAAATGACAGGCAGATAATAGGATTTTTTTTTCTACATGAGGACGTTCAAATCCAGGAACAGGTTGCCCAGAGAGGTTGCGGTATCTCCATCTTTGGAGGTGATCGGAACTCAGCTAGACACAGCCCTGAGCATCCTGATCTTGTAAGATCTGCTTTGTGCATGCAGTTAGACTAGATGATCAATGCAGGTTCCTGCCACCCTAAATTATTCTGTGATTCTATGATTGTGGCTCTCTTTGTAACATTTCTTTTTCACTCTACTGCATAGAGACCGAACTATTTTTAAATGTTTCCCATTTTAAGCTATAGTTGGTTTTACGCCAAATAACTAATAGTTCTCCGTGTTAAGGAGCCAAAGGAAATACAGAAAGACAAAATACCAAAAATAAAATTACAGTGTTACATTATCATTCAAATCTTGGATGGTGGTACTTATGGCACTAGACTTGGAAAATGAAAGCTTTGCTATGTATAATTTGAAAGCTACAAGTGAGGTGGTGCTCACAAACAGATGGTGCTAACCTATTTTCTTAGCGTATGCTCTATTTGCCAAGCACTCCGTGAGGCAGTGCTGGGTCTTTCATTCATGCCCTCTAAATTCTTTAAAATGGTGAAAAATAAACAGTTTCAATGTAAGGCAATAGGAATTCTGCTGATGAAGCCAAATTTGCTGTAATACAGCACAGCTGTATTCACCCTCTAGTTTTGTAGGGCAGAGTTCAAGGCTTTTCATGCTATAGGTAGAAAGAAAAAACAGTATTGTAGACCACTGCAAATGATCATATGCATTTAAACCACATCAGTAGAATAATGGATTTGAAAGGGGATGTTATCAACATGTACAAATACCTGACGGGAGGATGCTAAGAGCATGGAGATAAACTCTTCTCAGCAGTGGCCAGTGATATGACAAGGGGTGATGGCTACAAATTAAAAAAACAGGAAGTTCCATCTCCATATGAGGAAGAATTTCTCTACTGTGAGGGTGACACAGCCCTGGAACAGGCTGCCCGGGGAGGTTGTGGAGTCTCTTTCTCTGAAGAGCTTTAGTTCTGTGCCACTGAATCAAATTTTATTTTTCTTTTTTGGGGAAAACAAACCCTCAGATACTTCATTTGTTTTTAATGTTGGAAATTTTAGTGTGCACAACACCAAATTACAATACAAATGCTCTTTTATTGCTATTAGCCTAGTGAACCATTTCTATGTTTATCTCCCTATTTCTTTCCAGTTATTAAATAGCAATGGAATTATATAAATCTATTCCTAATCATTACCTGTTACTGTTTTGCCTTTGTGGCCTCCTTTGTAACTATTATTTCTTACTGGAATGTTAGACCAAAACAGAAGGGCCTTGACTTAAACTTTGCTGTGGAAACTGACATTGAAAACTGGACATCTCTCTCTCTTTTTTAACTAATGGTTCATCGTTAGCTAAAACTAACTCATGAGAATTGGAGGTGGTTGCTGTGCTTCTGATTTCTCCCTTTTTGTTACTCAGTGGTTAAAGAGATAACGAGATGATAATCCCTGGTGAACCCAAAGTTTTTACAGTAAATATCCAGAAGAATACTTTGTGTCTTATTTTCAATAGCTGTTTCCACATTTTGAAGATGTGAACTTCAGTTAGATCATTTACAGTTAAATTTTTCTAACACTCCAGTATTTATTTGCTCTTGGCTCCTTCTGCCTATTCCTGACTGCTTATCTTTTCCAACTTGCAAAACTAATGGTGGTCCCAGGTGGCTTCTCCAGACTATTTAGGGCTATATTCTTCTTTCTGAAGAGGCAAATGTAATTGAGTTCCCTTATGATGCAGATGCTTCCACAGAACAGGCCATGAAAAGGCTTTTGCCTTACAGGTGAGGAAATCTCTCCCTCTAACATAAGAGTCATGATGCACTTTATGGTGTGCTTTTAGTTCAGATCTACTGCACATTGTCATGCCGTTTTGGCAATCACTTGACTTTTGTTGTAGAGAATACTTGCAGAACAGCATGGAATTTCTGTTGGCAAGCTGGGATGGAAAGATTGCATTTCAGAGGTAGCTATGGATCCCAGAATCCATTTAGTGATGGCCTTAAGGTAAAAGAATTACTCCACAAATGTTTAGGGCCAGGATTTCAGTAACGCATGCCAAAAGCTGACAAAAGTGAATGTGAGTTAGGAAAACTCAACATTGCCTTACTCTGTGCCTGAAAATGTTCTTTTTTGTTTGCAAGACATTTTAATATTTCTTTGCATGGGAATTAGAGGGAGTCTAGTTAATCATTCAATTATTTTTCATCAAGAGGAAAAATGGTATTTTAAAATCAGAATATGTCAAGGGTGTTTGCTCCAAATCAAATATATTTTTATTATGCTATCACAGCAGATTCCTGGGATCTGCTCCATCCACTGGATCATATTTAATGAATGTATATCTGAGTGCTGGCCAATATAGAGATGATATTACTCTGAGTGGCCGTGCCTGCATTGCCTGCATTATTTGTTTCAAATACTGTAAGATCAATACAGGTTAGACTTATTTTGTGTGGCTCATACATGAATTAAGTGATGCAAGTCTTGCTGTCCTCTTAGATGTGAATGTTTAATGGGGACTGTCTTTTTGTTTATGTTCTGCTCAATAAAGGCACTTGTTTTAACACAGACTTTAGCAGATTATACAGTTAACTAATTAACTAATATAATTTCCTGTCAATTAAAAGTACTAATTCAGAACATTTTACTAGTTTCTCTATGACACATACTGGAGAGCTTCAAAAATCTGTTCAGTTTTCTTCCTATTTTTCATTATTTGGAGCTTTGTGTATGTTCGAAGTTGCATGCTCACAGCAGTTTCACATAATGAAAATAAAAGAAGCTGGGATGTCTCCCAGCCAAGGAAGCAACCCCATTCCTGCCTTCCCCCAGCAAGTATTGCAAAGCCAAAGATTCCAGGAGTTGAAGTTTACAGAAGTCCTGCAATGTTTGGGAATCTTACAGAGCTGAATTGGGGAAGGGGTGGTGGCTCCCTCCCTCAGGCTTCCTACTTAATTAATCTTCAGATAGGGAAAGGGTATAGCTGGAAACCTTAGTGGCCCTTTGCTGATATATTATCCATTCTGACAATTATAGAGTGCTTATCTTCTCTCCATGTCTCAATGACTGAGCAGGCACATATTTCCCATCAATTGCATTTCTTTTTCCTGTACAGGTAAAGGGCATAAAATGTCTGGCCTGGGTCTTTTGGTTCAATGTGCAGACAGCTGCAGGTGCTTGTCATTACTACTAACATATCTTCTAGGTTTGGAGTCTGCGGTTTCTGTTGGTCTCTGGTATCTGTTGTGCCTATGTAAGCTGTGTGTTTATGTTGCTGATATTTCCAGTATCAGTCTGTTCTTACTTCTAAGTCTCTGTATCTCTGCTCTGCATGTGTGTAAAAGAGAGAGGGAGAATTTTGGCATTGCTCTTTGCTGTTATTTAATGGCAGTTCTTACATCTCTTAGTGTTTTCTTTAATCTGAAATGATTTTGGGATACAACTTTATACGTCAAAAAGCAGAAGACAAATGACACCCTAAAATGTACTGTTTTAATCTTGGTATCATAATGCTTGGGGGAGTAGCCATAACTTCTTTTCCTTTAAGCACAGAGGGCCAACAGTTTTGAAAACACAGTAAATGTAATGGTGATAAGTGAATTCAGGTTATAAGTACCAAGTAAGGAAATGCCATTCCTGCCCCATCCCACCAAGATAGTAAGAAACACCTTCGTGTAGACTACAAAATTGCCCATTCTGTTATGATGTTGTTCCGTGCTGTTTAAGTTTATAAGTTAAATTTTGTAGATAGACATGCAAGATGTTTCTATTCCTCTGGAAGACTCCGAAATACATGTTTCAAAAAGTATTTTTTGGTAATTTAGAGTTGAGAATATATGGTAGTCTAGGTGTCCTGGCATAATTCCAAGCAGAAAATTACATTTCCTGCCCAAGGTAGCGAACGATCAATAAATAATAGCTGTTGCAGTTCCATTTGTATGTTTTACTATTCATCTTCTGTTTTCAGAAGTTAGAATAGTTTAGAAGAATAATTTCACTCTTTGTCCCCATTCTAATTTCACAGTGTGATTAACAATGTTAAAACATTACATTTTTACTAACAAACAAACAAACCCAAAACTCACTGTCTTAGCATTTTTTTCACTTGTGTATCTTAAGGCTACTATTATTTTAACTCCTGTATATAAAGGAAAAGATTTTCTTCTTCTCTCTCTCTGTTATTTCATGCATTTTTCTACCACTGTACTTGTAAAAGGAGTTTGGCTTCTATCATGGTATTTGGTATCTAACATTGCATTTGGTCATCTTTCAAAACTAAATGAGGGACCCAAATTTACGACCCAAAATTTTACATGACTATTAGTTTACATTTTGAAATACGCAAAGTTTGCAGAAAACTCTACCTTTAAGCTGTTGTTCGGTTGCATGCTGCTACCAAATGGAACCACTCTGTGTTGCAATAATTACATTACATTTCTGAGTATATAGTTATAAGATAATATATTTTGATCATCTCTACTTTTTAATCTTTCCCCAGTGAAAAGACAGAGCCTTAAAGTTCAGATCAATGCAACAGATGATACTGTTTGCATGAAGTATCTTCGACCAAGTCAAAACACCAAACTTGAAGGTTTTGTCCTGGGTTATGGAAGCAGCTTCTTTTCTAATCAATACATTCCTCTACCTTCTGAAGGAAAAACATACACAACAGAACTTGGTAAGGTATTTTTACTTTGCATGCTACTTTGATCATAAAGTTTGAGAGCAGAATGAGAAAAATATGAATCTTTGGCGTTCTTAATTTTTGTTTTTATTGGGTTACCGCTCAAGGCTTTTTTTTGTTTAAGGTTTTCCTGGGAAGGATTTTGGATGAAAGAGCAATTAGGAAAAGTGTAATCCTTCATGGAGAATAATAGTTCTTTTTGTTGAGATCCGCTTATTACTAATATTTATATCGATTTGATTTTTTTTTTCATCATGAGAAGGTGTGTTAGGCTGATCATGCCGGAGAGAAAATGAGACTATTTGCATGGAACTGTTGTTACAGCTTGAGCTAGTGCTGAGCTCCTGGTTTTGCTAGCAGAGCAGCATAATCACTTTTTTTGTTTGAGATAACGATAATCATCCCCACTTAGAACTGGGATATATGAGCCCCACCAGGGAGAAGCCTAATAATGAAAGCACAAGACATCGGCTTCTTTATTTCCCACCTTGTCAATGTTGAATTCTGATGAATTCAGCTTACTGTCAGATTTACTGCTGGCTCATCCCTGGCTTATACGTCTCTTTTGACCCCATTAATATTAAACCTGAAGACAATGATTAATGATTTTTCATCTGTGTGTATTTGAAAAGAAATAAATGAGAAAAAAATCTCTCCTAGCATTTGCAGGAGAGATGTATGTCTTCGGAGCAAGTGTGACATCTGTCTATAGTCCTTTCACTAAAACTTTCAGCACATTGGTGCATAGATTCTTCTCCTAAAATATTTGTTTTCCTTTCTTTTGCAACTAAATTAAATAACTGACCCAACCATCGCATGAATCCATGAATGAGGAACTGCCTGCAGAGGGCATGTACAAGGAGGAAAGAGTTCTGTGGGATTTCCTAAACTTGTTGTGAGCTCATGCTGATAGTAAAATCTTGAGCTGCTTCTTACCTTGCTAAATAGCTACACATGCGTTGCAGTGAAGAGTAAGTGACAATAACAGGCAGCAACAAATTTTAATTCAAGGAATTAAACATCCTATTGTAAGATTTTAACAATACCCAAATTCAGACTGTGAACACAAGATGTATGAATTCTTCTGCCCTCATTTAGGGAAGTGGGAAGGAAAAATGAAAGAGTATGTATTGATTGCATATGCATCAATAAAGAGTATGTATTGATTGCATATGCATCAATATGCATGTATTGAATGCTGTAGCATACTGCTTTCATGCTGTGTAGGCCTGTGTGAATGTTGTACATTGCTATTTAAACAGCTTTATTCAACTTAGGAACTGCAACTTCAAAGAGCAGTTCCAGCATCATACTGGCTCTCAAGTGCACTGTCTGCTGGATGGTCAAAACAATCCACATTTGAGAAATTGTAATACTAAGAATTAAGCCTGTTTTTTTGACTAGAGATTGCCTTGTACATCTGAATGTTTTCAGTAGTGTTTTACTACTAAAAAAAATAGATCATGTCACTATTCGAACTTTATTTCTGATCTATAACTTTGTGGGGGTATACCAGAAAAACAATTCCTAAATTATATCCGTAAGCTAGGTAAGTGAAGAAGAAGAAGTGAAGATCAAGCCATACATATCGAAAGCATATGTTCTGCTGCTTTTCTGACTGACTGGTCATAGGTTAGGGTTTACTCTTAGCTTTCACCTTTTGCAAGACTTGCTGAGATACCCTAGCGGTTGAAATTTCCTGGCTCTACTGTTAAAAATGGAGACTTCTAAAGGTATTTATTACAACCCTTATAAATGGGGTTGATACCAGTTTGTTTTGTAGCTTGCACTGTGGTACTGCAAATGGAATTTAGGTGTTAGTAAGTCTGATGATGAGGATGTGCAAACGGAGGAAAAATCCTTGTATTTCTCAGAACTTTTGGTGGTGCAAGCTGCGCTTTCAGTGGAGAGGAACTGCTTGTACTACAGTATGGCTAAGCATAGATGCAGGCACAAATCATGATCTCATTTTTTAGCCAAAATGCCAAAAATCAGCCCAGATTTCATTCTTGCAAGCTTCTTCCAGGTGCTCGAGCACCGAAGAAAGGCACAAGTTAATTCCGTAGCTCCTGTTGCCTGAATACTAGTGTGCATGCATTCAGTCTCCTTGGGCCATCCTCAGCACTGACTCTTGTAGGTCTCATCACTTAGTCAACAGGTTACATACTTTAATAAGTATTCTGGGTTAAGTCTTGTTCTCTGTTATCAATATCCTTCTCCCTGGAGCATGCACAGTGTTCTCTGGTCTCCCATCTCTGATCTGTAGCTTTTTTTATTAGGACTTTGGAGGGAATAGGCAGACATGTATGCTCTGGATTATAGAAAAAGTGCTTCTTTGTGGAGCAGTCCCACCCTCATTATTTCCTAGTTACAATCATCAGCTTTCATTATCCCATGCAGAGGTTCCTTCCAATCTCAACGTGCCTGGGATTCTGTGCAAAATGCAGAAGCATTTGGAGGCCTGTGTTCCTCAGTTCCTGTGCAATGCTTGGTACTTTGTCTGGAACAGATTAATCCTGGTGAAATTACAGATGCTGTTCTCTACCTGTAGTAACATGGTTGGTTCTGCTCTGGAATGTCAAATCATATTTCTAACCTAAGATACATTTTTAGTTAAGTTCGGAACAGAATTTTAATGTTATATCTCAGGTATGAATTGTATTATTCTGATCATTTCAGATTCTGACATTAGTTAGTATGATCATAGGACTGACTTCAATCAATGTCCCTAAATCAGACAGGTGGTACTTAGACCTGCCTGTTATAACAAAACTCTCTCAACATCTAGTCTTGTCCTATTTTGCTAAATACTTCCTTTATAGATTGTGTTAGCAGGAAAGCAGTGAGTTAACTGGAAAATATCTATGATGTGCTGTATTTTTAAATGCCAAAAAACCTTAATGAACAACATCCCTCCCAAAATATTCCTGTGGAGAGTACTTTGTTTCAGAACAGAAACACATAGCTAATGATTCCTGATAGATAGAGCTAGTGATTCCTGACAAATGTAAGGTTTTGTAGTGGGAAAATGGTTACAATTTTTATTTATAGCCACATTTTGTTTAAGAAGTAAACTATTTATATACTTCTACCTGTGTAATTTCAGACTTCACACAGAATTATTATTTTTTTAAATAAAAGAGCAGGGCAAAACTGCAAGTTTCCAACCATTTGGATAACTTTCTTTAGCAATCTTCTGGCTTTTTGCTGCTATAAACATACATTCTTGCATTTCTGAAGAATAACTTCGTATTTGTGAGGTTAACTTTATACTTTAGTTAAATGTTGCTCTGTGCTTTGTGGAAGTCTCACAAACGGACATGAATACACAGCAGAAAACTTAATTTTTAATATCAGAAAAACAAATTATTTTGAAGCATGTCATCTAATTTTGTTTTTAGGTTATAGCATAAATGTACAGATTGTTCGACAGATCCAGAAAGAACTATTCCTTCATTAGTATAAAGATTTTTGGTTTTTTTATTTGAAAATGAAAGGTTGATTTCAAGTTGAGGCTTTTATTTCTTTTAAAGTCAATCTTCTTTTTAGCCTGCTTTTTGCAGCTGCTTCCAATTCTTATTTCAGTTATTTTTATTTGGGATACAGTTGAAACTCATTTAAAGAGAGTAAATAAACAATCGAAGTACAACCATAGTATGGGATAAGTGAAGTTCAGTTACTACAGTTTTCTACACACTTGCATTATCTTTCAAAGTAGTGTTGCAAGCTTTCTTTCAAGTTTATTCCGAACTTATTTTCTTCATTCTCTCTTTATAGAAATCAATGATTTTTCATTGGTTGTGTTCAGCTGCTGAACTACAGGGCATTTGGGGCACTGGAACATGCAGGAAAACAGGTGCTTCATCAATATAGGCAATTTTGGACAAATTACCTTAAATAAAAGAAAATCTTTATATAGAATAGACTTTTCCTTAAAAAATATACTATTAAAAAACTACTTTAGCTATATGGTGAGCTGAGTTCTGCCTAGGAATATCTCTACAAGCTTCTGTGACTTCTTTTTCAAGTGTTCAAGTTGGGTGAGAATAGCATTTAGCTTAGAATATATAGGAACTGAAAACTCTGACATCTGATATGAAGTGAAAAATCTCCATCTTTTGAGGATGGATTTCCCCAAGTGTAATTTGCCATTTCCTTCTCAACATTGTTTTTAATCAAAGCATTTATTATTTTAAGCTGTACAGTTAGCTTTTCTGCCTTTCGCTGCCAGAAACATCATCTGAACTTGTGGCCTCTTACCATGTGTGCTTGTGTTCATCCAAACCGAATCAAATGTCCCAAAAATGTGTTTACTTTTTTGTAAAAGTAATAGCAAATTTGGTTAGCTTCATGTCCTGTGAAGGCTGGTATTTCCAAAATATTCATAAACTAGTTCACAGCTGACACCCAGCTAATGTGATTTAACATATACTTGAGAATGGCTGCAGTTTTGATTTACTTTAAAAGAAGTCAATTTACTTTAAAAGGCCAATCTTCAGGTTTGAAATTGAATGCTCAAAATTCTCCTCCTTGGAAAGACTTTGCATTTGTTTAGCTATGTGACCTGTTTGTTGCTAACATTTTGACATGAAGCATTTGCACCTTTTAAGGGAAACTGCACAGAAGTGTAAACTGGAGTCACAATAGAGATTGTCTATTCTGTAAAGATTTTGTTTTTAAGTACCTTGGAAAGGTTCTTTTTTTGCTATGAGAAAACACATAGTGATTAAATGCAAAAGAAATACAGATATTGGAGTGTACATAACTTGTCTCTGAGATGAATTTATTGAATAAGAAAATCACTTAGCTGCTGCTTTCCTGTTATGTGCAAAATTGTGTCTATTATAACAGTATCCAGAGACCGCAGTCAAAGTCACAGCCCTTTATGTTTTTTATACAAACATTATCTCAGGGCTATTAAAAGTTAGTAATAACTCTGCTTTTACAAAGAGTACCCAAAACTGTCAAAGCACAGTCAGATTTCATAACAACTCAATGCGAAGGGTATGTAACATACTCGTAGGATAAGTCAGTGACTAATGTGGAGACTGTATTACACATGTCTGATTTTCTGGTGTTTCCTGCCACTAGAAGATTATGCAAGTCTTGACTGATTGAATATTAGTCTATGGGAGTAAGGCCTGGCAACTTGTTCATGTATTCAGTTTATTCTTTTTGTAATGTTACAGTACAGACTGATAGGTCTGTCCTGAGAACCAGCTTGCCACAGCAAGACTGAAGTGAACAGTCTGAAATAGAATTAAAAATGGCTGAGCTGAAATGGTTCTGAAAGGTTAAAGAGAAAATATGTGTTGCAGAAAGTGTCAGTAAAGCTTATCATTTTGTATTTACTTGATTTATTTTAGTTTGAATATCAGTAATTAAATCACTTCTAATTTTAAAAGTGGAATTTCGTATGTTACTCATTAAAAACGTATATAGGATATTTTGTAGTCATTAAGACAGGTCCACCCTGTGGTAGTGCTCTTGTAACTCCTTGAAACATCATAGCTAGTGTGTTCAAAACATCTTTTATAAAAACATGTGCATTAAAACCAATTCTCTTCATAAGACATACCAGTGTAATGTGACTAGCAGCAGAAGAAGAAGGAAATTATTATGCATACAAAGAAAGCAGACTCTGTTTTGGCATCGTAAAAAAAAATCGCCACTAGGTACCGATGCTGGGTCTTGCTTTAAAGTTGATTCTTTTCTAGATAACGGCTGATAGAAATACTGTTTAAAGGTACCTACATCAGCAGACTCTGATCTTGGAAGTCCTTCTCGTTGACAGCATCAGCAACCACTAGAGTAATCCACACGTGGATACGCTATATGGATATATAACAGTGGGAACAACAGGGTACAACCTTTCAACAGGGTACAACGTGCCGCATCGATATATTGTTTTCTCTTAGATTGTAGGTATATAAAAGAGCATAGGACCATTTCTGATTTTCTGCTAGAATAATTTGAAAAGTATTGTGTGAATACAATTATACCATTCAGTAGGCAAATTCCTTCATTTTTTTCTGCTGCTCATGTGCCAGAGGTTGAGATAGGGAAGGTGGTAAATAGTCAACAAGTGGCTACTGCCTAGGAAAATCTTGTAGTGCAAGGCAAGTCTTCTCAGTCTCTGCTCAGGAATGCAGGTATTTCTGGTAGCATTTCTTCAGGCTTAATTATTTTTCTGCTTTTTTACTTTACTATCACCTCTTCCTCATCAGCTAGGTTTTCCTCCTCATTCACTGTCTACGTAATGTTTGAGCTGAGATGTTGCATGTATGTCCTGTTGTCTTCACCTCTTTGCTATGTCTCGATCAAAAGGAAGTATCAAATTTTGTGTGCAGGGATGGTTTTTTTTTTCAATGGCTGGGATATTTCTGGATGATTGGTGAAGGAAGCATACCTGAAGATCGCACAGATAGGATAACCCACCAGGCATTCATGGAATCATGCATCTTTTCATATGAATTATAGGTTAATTCCCTTCTCAGAAAAATGGCAAGTCTATACTAATTGCTTTTTATTTTTGTTTACAGATGCGGAGCCACGGTATTTAATTTCAGTAAGACCAGCACGCAACTCAAATAACAAGAAATCTTGCTCAGGTATTTTACCATGACTGTATCTCTTTCTCCACGTGATTGAAAACAGAATCTTGCTTTTATGGGGATTCTCTGGAAAAGTGTTTGTGACAGACTCAAATGCCCAAATGCCATGGACGTGTATTTGGAGGGTAGGCCTGGATTTCCCAGTCAGAAATGAGTCACGTGTGGTGATGAAGGAGTGGTAAAGACTGTTTTCTAAAAAGCTCATATAAATGAGAGGTAATTTTTAAATTACTAATTTTTGATGTTTCAAGAGGTCACTGGTGTACGTGAAAAAATAAACATGGTAAAGTTCAGCACATTTTATTTTGCAAAATAATGATCTGATGGCTTAAACTTTAATAATGAGAATTCTTTTCAAACCACCATTAAAGGTTTTTGTTATCCCTGGGCATTTTGGTGTTCTTTATGCCTTAAATGGTAATGACTTTTGGTGTATGTGTATATGTAAATGAATACTAAGTTTACTGATGCAATTTGCTGAGGAAAGGGGAATTCTTATAGCTGAAACTATGCATAGCAGAACAGAAAACTGAGATTGATTCTTTTTAGTGTAAAATACTATTGACACGACCCTAATAGTGATAGTAACACTGTTAGAACTTTTATTGCTTAGGATCATGGAACTGTTGCAAAGAATAAACTATTTGTATTTGTTTGTAAACTATTGGTACTTTCAGATCTTTCTATGGATTTTGCTCTAATTCCTGATAATCACTTGGAATTAATTATTCCTCTCTCATTAGCAAATATATTAAAAAAATGTTTAGATGCCTCTAGAAAAGGTCTTGAAAAGTGATTTACCCTTCACATGCAACTTTACATATAAAAATAATTAAATCATGGGCAATATTTGAAGATCATAGAATCATAGAATGCTTAAGGTTGGAAAGGACCTCTAGAGGTCATCTAGTCCAACCCCCCTGCACATGCTGGGTCACCTAAAGCACGTGGCACAGGACTGCGTCCAAGCGAGTTTTGAAGATCTCCAGAGAAGGAGACTCTACAACCTCTCTGGGCAGCCTGTTCCAGAGCTCTCTCACCCCCAACTGTTAAGACAGATTTCCTTAAGCTCTTGTGGAACTACATTTTCAATAGCAAGTGGAGTCGAACTGGAAAATATACCAAGGATTGTGGCAGGGTGAGTCACTGCAATTTTGTGAAGATCGGCTACATTTCTAAAAGATATACTGTATTTCAAATACCGGTTAATACAGAGGAGTTGTGAGTTCTGTTTTCGTAGATATCAAAATAGGTGATAATGTGGGTACTTTCTATTTTTATGGTGTATAAATCTTTAGAGTCTCTAACTGGGAACTTATGGAAAGATTGTGTGTTGGTCATGAAGGGAAGGGTATAAAGAGTTCAAGTCAGATGAAAACTTGACTTTTCCTTAAAACTCATGTATTTTCCATGTTTCCTCTGAAAGTGATTAAGAAAAGGATTTCACTGTAGACAGATTTGCCAAATAATTTGTTGAGTGAACTGTTTGTTTTAACTTTTTGTTTAACAATGGACAAAGAGGACAGGAACCAGCCTAGGAAACAAGAAAATTGTTTGTACTTTTGCCCTCATAAAAGTATCATATGTTCCACAGTGTTTTACATTATCAAGCATCTTTGTGAGGGGAGGGGGGGATTTTTTTGTTATTGTTCTTGTCATGTTCTGCATAAATATACAGTAAAACACCCACACAGCCAGTGGGTCCAGCTGCACACGTGTTACTTGGGAATGCAGCTCAGACTTTCAATGGGGCTTATTAAGTAGAAAACTATTGGGGTCAAGAGGCATGGAAAGAGACTTAGATTGGTTTCACAACAGTGAATTAAATGTTTGGGAATTTTTGGCCTCCGGTGAATTTCTTTCTTTCAGTAGAGGTATAGATCATAGTTTAAGTTGGTGAACTGATATAAAGAATATATTAATTTCTCTTAAATAAAAATGATATCTCATACAGCAAAGTTTCTACTTGGGCTTGCAGCAGCCCACAAACTTCATATTGGCAATGACTTCTCTAGATGATTTCTTTATTTCCAACCACCAGCGTTTAAACTTTGCTCAAAATTTTATCCTCCATGTGAAGGATGCTTGTGCTAATTCATGCAGAACAAAATTAAATTTAAATATAATGCAAAAACTGAACAATGTGAGATTAATAAATGTCTGAAAGGAAAGCAGGCTCTTGGATACAGACACCAACTCAGATCTCCCTACAATTTAGAGAATTTTTGTATTTTTTATCCAATTCTTGTTGAAAAGTATTCTAGACAGTATGAACTGTCTCTGGACACAGTTGTAGTGCTGCCAAGATGATCTTAACTTCTCTGCCACGGGGAAAGAGAAGTTTCCTAAAATTCGGAATTACATGTAACACTTCTTGTGTTGCAGTCCAAGACTTTCTGTTGTTTCTGAGGATTGATTACAACAGCTACTTTTCTAAACAGTTTCCTAATATGCCATTCTGGAGCTTGCTAGTTGTGTCCTCCCTTTCTTTCTCCCTCCTTCATTCTGCAATTCTTCGCTCACTTTCAGGGAAGGAGCAATCCTCCTTCCCAATGTATCACTTGCTTCATCATGAAGCCAACAAAGAGATCACAGATTCTCCCTCTACTCCCTCCCGTTTAAAATCTTACATTAGAAACCGCAAGTGTGAAAAAGAGATGACTGTTGTACCTTTTCCTTCAAATTTAGAAAAGTAGTAGATCTTCATTTCTTTCATTATCCAACTGCAGATATTTTCCCCTACATGATGCAGGAGGGAGAAACTAGTTTGTAATTGAAATGGTCTATTTTTTATGTAGGTCGGAGCAAGACACAAAAGCCTCTGCAGCTGGTAGTCGGGACTCTGACCCCAACCTCTGTCTTCCTCTCTTGGGGCATCTTAGTCAACCCTCAACATGACTGGACAGCAACAAGTAACTGCGCTAGTGACAGGTAATGTAGCAGAAAACATTTTTTTATGATGGTCATGTTTTAATTCAGCATTTCAAGCTTGAAGGTATGAATGTGATTATCTGGTGTGACTGAATAAGTGTGATGGTGGAAATTAAAACATTGAATTCAGAGCATGAAAATTCTGAATGTGAAGCAAGTTTTCTCTGTGCTTAAATTAATGCTTAACAAGCACTTACTTGTTTTGAGTGTGAATTCAAACAGGGACCTACATACTGAAGTGCAAATCTTGCTGTTTTACTCTACATCCTTGGCTCTTCGCAAACAAAAGACCTGGATTTACCTTCATTTGTGTTCGCATTAATCAAAGAAACTTTGTTGATTCATAGGAAATGCTTTGACTTAAAGCTTGCCAAGTAGGATTAAGGTCAGTCTTTGGCCATAGTTTGAAAGGAGGATTTATCCATTTTGTTTTAATGGTATTTGATTTTTGTTTCCTGTGATTGGTCCTTGTCACTGTACTGTTTTCCTTGTATTATAATACAATTTTCGTCTTTTTTTTTTTTAAAAACAAGATTTCTTCTACTGCAAATTTTTTGTTTTGCTGTAATTTTTAATGACAGATGTGGCAGGTGGGAAGGTTGAGAAAGCTCACCAAGTAGCAGTTCCTAGAGAAGTCAGAATGCTGGACAGCTTCTCAATGGAGTGCACCATGATGTTCTAGGCAACTCTTAGCAAATGAGTGAATTGGGATTGTTAAAGTTGTTACTGAGATTTTTTTCTGCTCTGACATTTTGGTTCTCTCTTTGAATTCTTCTGCTTATGTCAGTTTTTTGTTGCTGTTTTTTTATCTATATAATATGAAGCTCCATTCAAACATGCAACGTTTTGTAAAACCTGAGGAGGAACTTTGTTCACCGATTTTATGATTTTTTTGTTGTTGTTTTCCTCTTTCTTTGTTCAGGATGCATACATATATCCAGGTTCTCACCATCATCTTTTGCTTTATTAATGCACGTTTGCATTATTGAGAATACTTCCTTTGGAGTTAATAACAAAACTATTGATAGGAGGCAAGAAATTTCAAACTTAGATCATGATGCAAAGCTCATTCTGTTGCTTCAGTGAAACAATTAAAATATAGTTGTTTATTGCAACTCCAATGAAGGAGCTTTATCCATGCCATTTTTAAGCAAACCATCTTTCAGTTATTTTCATACAACTTTCCAGAAATGAAGAGCATGAGGCAATAAAGTGCTGCACATTTTCTGCAAGATAACCCAAAATCTTCTTTGCTTGTTAGAAGCAATGATAGCCCCTGCAATTGGGGTGGACTGCATAAATTTCAGAACCTCCTTGAAGTTAACATCATCTCTGGTCAGAGCCTTAGCACTCGAATTCAAAAAACATATAACCCAAACAACAACAATAAAAAACAACAACAAATAATTTAGTTTTATGTAATTGTTAATAATTTAATAACACCAGAAATGTTCCACCAACACTGTTAAATTTCTCAGCATCTTTTATTTTCTTATACCAATATGAGGTAGACCTGTCATAATTCACACACTGTGGGCATATTTACTATCCATCTAGTTCTTTAAAAAAAAATAAAAAATAAATAAAAATAAATAAAAGAGAGAGAGAGAGTCTGCTATTACGTAGCCTTTTCCTGGCCTTACTGGTGCTTAGAACAACTCCCAAAACAGAGCAGGGTCTTAACAGGACTTCAGTAGCTTGTCAAAGGGGAGGGAAAGATCAGAAAATGCATGAATCCCCTGCAAGACAGACAGGTTTTATAGATAGGAACAGTATATTTTACTGTACTGAGTGGTCTGAATATAAAAACAAGGAAGCTTCAGATATATGTGCAATAGAAATAGTAAATGTGAAGGCAGGCTGTTTTCATGCAGCATATCTAATTTAAGAATTGACAAATTTACATGTATGTTACTTAAATTTGACTATCTATGTTATAAATATCGTAATTCATGTTTATATTTTTTGCAGGTTTTTCTAACTCTGTATCTGTTTCCCCTCCTGAAAAGTAAAATAAAAAAAAAATAAAGAGGAGACAAAAGGAAAAATCCATACTTAGTTCTTATGTTACACAGCACACAGAAGCAGGATTTTTAAAATGCCAAATTCAGAGTTAGCTTCATGCATTCCCTTTTGGGCATATCTACAAATCTGTGTCGCCATACAACTGGCAACTTAATCACAGTTTGTGTTTCAGATGTCATAGAAAATGGCTTTTAAACTTAGCAGAATTCCTTAAGGAAAACATACTGCAACAAATGAGCTTTTGTAATTTCAGATGCTTTTGAGTTACTGCTGTGAGATAGTGGGCAGAAAGTTTGTTTAAACACTGAAAGATTGATTGGTTGTCAGCCTGTCATTCTTCGGAGCCTCTAATGCTACAGTTCAATTAAGTAATTTAACTTAAATAAAGAATTTTAAAAAGTGAGTATTAAAGATCATGTAAGAGTGAAAACTGCATTAGCAAATGCTTTGCAAACTTAACTGTAGCCATCAGGGATGTGCCTCTTTCTTTTTTCTTACATCTGTTGGTGTCCATTGCTTTCAATTAAAACTGGCAGTAAAAGGGAAATGCTATACTTAATACTATGTGGCGATTTGTGAAATACTAGACATCTGAAAAATCATAGTTGAAACCATTTCCAGATTTCCTTTCTGAAATTAAATGTTATGCTATGCATCTAATAACATCTAACTATAAAAAAACGAGCATATATGTATGTGAATAGTCTCTTAAAAAGTCTGATTGCATTCACATTCACAAAAATGTAATAGGTTTTATAATCTTTTATCTGTGACACAGATCAGAAATGTTGCTGTATCTCCAAGGCTTAATTGTTTGTTTACTGCTTTGTGCGTCTAAAATAGTCATAATTAATTTGTTTGGAGTTTTGGGTTGGATCAGTTTCCAAAAAACTCATAGTATTTATACAAACTGACTTAGTCTGGAAATTTCATAAAACCATCTGTCTTACACGTTTTCCAGGATTTAGCTGTTTGGACCCAAATATTTGACTGTACTAGAAAAGAATTTGGTTAACCATTAGAGAAATGACGGTGACATTTTTGGCAAGAGAGTGTCATTTATACGGATACATGAAAACTCAGTGTTTTGCTGGTCTAGCCTACAATTTTTCTCTTCAAAGAAGGGAGCAGGATTTCCATTAATTTCCAAAGGAAAAACATGAATGATGATTTTGATGAGACAGTCATCATATTTTGCTCTTACATAAGAAAAAGGCTAGCTTTCAGCTGCCTTGTTGTGGGTTGCAAAAACCAAAAAATCCATCATAAAAAGTATAGAGGCATCCTTTTTATTTGTGTTTGGCAGTTTGCTGTCAGATTTAACAAGGAATTATTATTCTCTAATAACAAAATATCCCATTTCTGAATTCATTGTCTGCAAATAAATGATATTAGTTCTCCAGAAGTGCATGTTGGTGTACAGTTTGGACATTTATAGTATTTGGAGTTGCTTTGCAGATTGCTAACTTGAACTTTGATTTCCTTCTATTGAAATAGATTGCAGAAGTTCTGTCATCACCGTCAGATTTTTTTTAGTACCAGTTATGGCATGTTTCTGACGAAATAGCTACAGCCTTTGTGAAGTTTTTACAGGCTTGGAAAACTAGGGAGCGGAGCGCATTTCTCCTATGCTCCATGTGTCTGTTTCTAGAGGTACAGTTTGGCACATCTGCGACAGTTTCCTTGTCAGATGTTTTATAGCCTTCTGAAATTCATAGAAAGATGATTTTTAACTTGAATTTGTTTTCTTGGTATTTTACATAATGTTATGGAGAAGGAATTTGCAGGTGTCAAGATATGTTCCGCTCTCTGTATTCAGTAGAGGCAAACAGGACATCCACTTATAAGATTATTAGAAGAAACAACATTTTGGGGATGGAAGGACTTATGCTCTCTTCTGATGCAGCTCCCGATTTGAATCTTGAATGGAAATGAATAAGTATGTTTTCTTTCCACCAAATACAATTACTTCATAATTATTCCATTTAAATAAGGCAGGAAAACATAAGGATAATATAAAAGAAAAAGAAGATTTCCTTTTTCAGATAAACTGGAAAGAAAATAGCTAGTTTTATTTCTGCATCATATTTCTTAATCTGTCTATACTTAATCTCTTCCAAAACTGTACTGAGTGCCGCAAGATTCATTTGTGCTTCAGATGGGATTTATTTATTTGTGGCAGAAATTTCAAGTAAGCTGCTCAGTTTGTGTTCATGTCTCTGAAGTTATGCATGAAGAGGTTAAGAGAAGAGAGGAGAGGACCTGCTTGTCATGTTAACACTGCCGCTAATTTATTGTAAAATCATTCTTTGTCAGTCTAGCTTGTAGCTAAATCACATATTGCTTGACATATAAAGTGTGAGTAGACCACAGAAGTAAAGAAAGATGTGGATTAATAATGCCCTTATTGTGATGTTCCAAGAATTTCTAAGATGAGAGTGGATATTCATTAATAATTCTATTTACTCTCTCTTTAAACCTGAAATTGCAAAAGACACATATGAAATGGGAGCCCATCTAGCAAAGGAAAATTTTGACCACCACTTCAGAAAAAAGGCTGGTATGATATATGTTAGGGCCTGATGATGGTGTGGTAATAACTAGTAAAATCTTGTCTTGCTTTACTTTTCATAGAATGCTTAAGGTTGGAAGGGACCTCTAGAGGTCATCTAGTCCAACCCTCCTGCACACACATGGACACCTAGAGCACGTGGCACAGGACTGTGTCCAAGTGGGTTTTGAAGAACTCCAGAGAAGGAGACTCCACAACCTCTCTGGGCAGCCTGTTCCAGGGCTCTGTCATCCTCACTGTTAAGAAATTTTTCCTTAAGTTCCTATGGAACTTTTGATGCTTCAGTTTCTGGCCATTTCCTCTAGTTCTGTCAGTGGCCACCACTGAAAAGAGGCCAGCACCATCCTCCTCACTGCCTCCCTTGAGGTACTTATAGACACTGCTCAGGTCCCGTCTCAGCCTTCTCTTCTCCAGGCTGAACAGGCCCAGCTCCCTCAGCCTCTCCTCATAGGGCAGATGTTCCAGGACCCTGATCGTCCTCATAGCCCTGCGCTCGACTCTCTCCAGCAGCTCCACATGCCTCTTTTACTGGGGGAGCCAGAACTGGACACAATACTGCAGATGTCGCCTCACCAGGGCTGAGTAGAGGGGCAGGATCACCTCCCTCCACCTGCTGGATACGCCCCAGGATCCCATTGGCCTTCTTGGCCACATGGGCACACTGCTGCCTCATGGTCAACTTGTCGTCCACCATGACACCCACGTCCTTCTCTGCAGAGGTGCCCTCCAGAAGGTCAGTCCCCAGCCTGTACTGGTGTCTGGGGTTATTCCTCCCCAGGTGCAGAAAAAAAACTAGCTACAGGCCTCCAACTAGACTCTGTGCCACTAATCACTGTCCTCTGAGCTCTGCCATCCAGCCAATTCCTAATCCACCTCACTGTCCACTCATTTATCCCACACTTCGGAAGCTTGCTCAGGAGGATGTTGTGAGGGATGGTGTCAAAAGCCTTGGTGAAGTCGAGATAGACGACATCCACCGCTCTCCCCTCATCTATCCAGCTGGTCATTCCATCACAGAAGGCTATCAGATTAGTCAAGCAAGATTTCCCCTTGGTGAATCCATGCTGACTACTCTTGAGCACCTCTTGTCCTCCATGTGCCTGGAGACAACGGCCAGCATGAGCCGTTCCATCACTTTTCTGGGGACGGAGGTGAGGCTCACTGGCCTGTAGTTGCCTGGGTCCTCCTTCTTGCCTTTTTCGAAGACTGACGTGACACTGGCATTCTTAAACTTGTTATTTAACGTGTCCTCTGATATATTTGTTCTGAATGTTTTGAGGAGGAAAACAACATTGGGTTTAGAGGGGAAAAAGGTAGCAAATACATTTCAGGGAAAACAATAAGTATGTCTATGCATTTGAAAATATATATATATATATGTATATATATATTTTCCTGCTCAGGACTCTCAGAGTGATAAAGACATAAATTTTATTTCTAAGAAAGTATTCCAGACCCCAGAGAGGTACTGTCATGCTCATGGACAACTTTAATCATTACTGAAAAGCAAATCCACTTTGAGATAGATTTTAGCGTGTTTTGAATGTAAAATAGTATAGCAAATGAAGAGGGTCATGAGCTAACACAGACATTAATTTTATAATCTAGTGGATTACCGTTTAGTAGCTTCAATAATCTCTCTCTTGTATAGGTAATCCAACCCCAAATTTCTTAACTGTCACTAATAAAACAGAAGAACTTGTACTTTTGGTGCAGAGAAAGCAAACTTTACTTTTATCCCATACCTGTCAAAGAATGTATTTTGCAGTGCTGATACTTGCCTCACCTTGGACTGCTTTTTAATAGCAAAGTATAAATTTCCCTTTTGCCTTTCACTAATATTTTCTGCAAATTGCTAAATTTTGGCAACTTAATTAAAGCCCATTTTAGTTGTTTTCTCTGGATCTCCTCTCCTTTATCTGCATATATTTTCCTATGTAATATCTGGATTAAATCTCCCAAAGCAAACTAAGAAAATTTGTTTTTCTTTTTTTGCTGCTGAGTGACTCTCAGGCACGGATTGTGAAAATAAAACTTCAGAGTTTTGTTTGGTTTATAGTGTTGGTTCTCCAGCAACTATTAGTTAAGTGGGGAAAATACAATTGTCTGGAATTCATCATTTTTTTCAGCTGATGTAAATGTGACAAGGATAAGAACAATAGATGGATTTGATTTCTGATATATGTAACAATTTCCAGTAATACTTGGGAAAAGTTGCCAGACCTTGCCTAGTTATCTTTTTTCTTTTTGTACAAAAAAAAAAAAAAGACAGTCATACAGTATGTACATTGAAGATGAGACACTGTAGAAGGTGGTGGAGCCCTTGTACCATAACTTTGATCATTTATGTTGTGTTCCTTTCTAGCCAGTAGCATTGCAGCCATGCTTTCCAGGGTGGTGCTGCTTGATGGAATTAGGCAATTTCTATAGATTTTTTTTTTTAATTTCATAACGTGTCTGTATTCATCACGTCGTGGATTTTAAACTGCCAAAACTAATATTGTGGTTTAGTCTTTTGTTTTAAATGTGAACAACAAATTCTGGGATCACAAAATGAGCAATGTATTGCATAAAGGTCAGCTATTAGTGTTTTTCCCTTGAGCATATTTTTGGACTAATTTTAGGGGAAACACCTTACCCTGGCCAAATATAAAAGACTTTAAAAAACTGATTGAGGCTTCCTGACTAATAGGCTGATGATTGCATTGCGTAGCTCTGGCATATGTCAGATGATCACAGAAATTGCTTGTAGGATGAGCTTGCAGTTTGTGGTCAGAACCACACATGCTTGTTTGCAAACCGTATGAATAATGAGAATGCCATTTTTTTTCTTGATATAATATACGTATTTGTAGGACGGCAGGTTACACACACATGCACGTGCACACGCACACGCAAACATGTCCATCTTCATGTGCTTGTTTTTGTTAAACAGGTTCTATACAGTTCGCTACAGAGAAAAGGATAAAGAGAAGAAATGGGTTTTTCAGCTTTGCCCTGTTACAGAGACAGTGGTGGACAACTTGAAGCCAAACACACTTTATGAATTTGGAGTTAAAGACAACATCGAGGATAGTGTTTGGAGCAAGACTCTAAATCACAAGACAGTTCTATCTAGTAAGTATTTAGCAATGATTAATAGATACCCAGTTTGACATCTTTTCTATTGGTATCAAAATATTATTTAAACTGCTGATCAATTTTTCCTTGTTTGAATTCCATCCCTATGCCCTAACCAATTATTTTAGGTATTGTTGACAATAGAAATAGTACATATTTGAAAAACTATCACCTACTCTTTTTGACGAACGCTTTCTTCTCATTGCAAATAGCAGAGGCTTGAAAGATACTTCCTTGTCAGAGTTTTTATTCTTTTCAAATGTCGTTTCTTTTTTCAGAATATAAACTTACATATTAACAACTAAACAACTAAATACTCAGAGCTGCTGTTTCCCTTTATGTCTGCATTTTGTAATTCCAAAATACTAAGGATTTTCTGGTTCTGGTCCCAAGAACTGTCTGGACAACATAATCCTTCAAAGAAAGGGTTAGGCATCAGTTTTTAGTCTACAGCTTAGTGAGATGGGATACAAAAAGTTTGACACATGGTAAAAAAAAAAAAAACCTTTAAATGGATCTTTTTGTTATTGTCCAGAAATGAATTTCTAGGAGATCTGAAATTAAATTGCTATGCAGCCCATTAAGAAAATATTGGGATGGTTGTGAACAGAATGAACACTTAATTCATGGACAGTTACATATTTGGAATAATAAAAAAGGAGTTTTAACAAAGATATTGTGCCATGAATATTATATATATATTGGCAGATTAGAAAAGATCTAGTGAAATAATGCTCAGTGAAAGCAAGCACCAAAAGAGAAAAGCCAGCTTTACCAAAGATTATTCAACGGACCAGTAATAGGTCCTGTTCGAGAGAAATTATCAAGCACTGAAAAATTTTTTGTGAGAGCCTGTAAACCTTAATGTCTTCCAATTGAAAATTTATTATAGCTTTTTTTTTCTTTTGACCATTTTATAAAGAACAGTGAAGATATATATCAATCATTATGGATGTTGATTTTTGTTTGTGGATATGTTGATTTGAAAAGGGTGGATTAGTGTCTAGATGGAAGATGTAAACAAAGTTTGAAGCATCATGTTAGAATACAACATTGTAGACCTGAGGGGAAGGGACCGTAACTCCTTTCTATTTACAGCTCTGTCACAGGAAGCTTGTGAGACTTCAAGTCTCAGTAGCTTGTACCTGCTTCCTGGTACAGCAGGAAAAGGCTATGGAGAAAATGGGAGAATCAAATCTATCAGTTACTTTGGTCTGAGTTAAAATATGCTGTTTTTAAAACACCTGTTGGTGGTACCAGCCTGACAGACTGGGATGGAGTAATTCCTCTTCATTCAAGTTTCTTTGTTGCAAATTAATTTTCTCAGTTATATTAATTTGATTAAATAATTATCTTGGACATCTCTGACTAAGACTTCTCTTTAGGAAGTCCCAAAGACCCCTTCGACTCAATTACCCGCTGAGGTAGAAAAAAAGAATATGTTTGATATCCTTCCTGTCAATATAGGAAGAAGAGAATTTGCACATTTAAGTAATAATAATAAAAAAATCTGGAGAAAGGACACCGAAGAAAACTGCTCCACAGTGTATTCTTATACCCTATAATAATTCTGCTTATTTTCTCAGTTATTGAAAAAGCTGTTTACAGTAACTGAAGAAACTTGTTTTGCTTTTCTTTGAAAAAACAAAAACAAAAAGTAACCATGTATTGATTTCTCTTTCTGTCAAATCAGATAAAAAAGTAAACGGACAACTCCAGAATATGTACAAGTTGGTACCTAGTACCCAAACGCAGGTATGCAAAAATAGTCTATTATTTTTGATTATTATTCTTGATAACAGATTTGATTTTGTATGGTAAAATTTTCCCTATTAGAGTAAGTGAAAAAGAGATTATGGCCACAGATCCCTGATACCAGAAATTTGTTAAATCTAGGACTGAATGCTTGTATAGAAAGGCACTTCATGTGTATATTGATGAAATGACTGAGCAGTGGTGGCAATGATCAGACCTATTGATTCTGGCTTAAAAAAGATGAAGCTAATAGTTTCAATATGTAAACTCTAAATGTAAAACTGAGCTTATTCTTTTCAGCTTGCGGTAGTCAGATTTGCTAACCAGTGATATTTATCATGTTCAAATAATCTCCTGTAGTTATGGCCTGTACTTGCAGAGAATCCATTTTGTGATTACATAGTGCATTTTTTTTTCACAGAGGTATCTTTTATATATTCAGGTCACCTGAAACAATTAGTATTCCTAAGGAATTCAGTAGTAGTTTTCATATATGATGGAGGTGTTTGCAGAACCAAAAGGAGCTGGAAAGGCCATCTTAGTTTGTCTTTCAAACTCAATAGGCAGATTCGTAGATTCACATACAGAAATATTTTGCTTTCAAGAAGTGAAACAGAAATGAAGGGAGAATAGATTGAGCTTCTTAGTAGACTAGTCTTAATACAGTGGAAAATAGACATTTTATTCCTGACTCCTGAGCATTGCTGTCTCTTATATAAGATTAAACTTTACTCCCTGTTTCTTCTTCTTACTTTTTCTTCAAAATACAAGTTTCAGAAGTTACAAGTTATCTTCTGGTGGGGGGCTTGTTTGTTTTTTAAGGAACTATCAATCAGATAGACTAACGGAGAACTTACTAAGAAAAGTTGTTGAAATCTCTGTTCCTTCAGCCATTTAAGAGTCTTAGTTCATAAGCGATTTTTATAAAGGAACACTCCCTGGGTCTGTTGTTCGCAGTTCCGTGCTATGATTTCTTTTTTCATAGTAGGAAATGGCCATTCAATGGCCATTTTTTTTCATTCTGCATACATAATTTTGTACAATACTGTAAATTGTCCCTAATAGTGACCTGGAAATCCTTCAGGAACCAAATCGCAATCCATGCATTTTCTTTTGGAGGAAGAATTAAGTATTAATTTAGGAGAGTAATACTTTAATTATAGCATTACATTCAGAATCAGAGCAGTAAAAAATGTGCCACAGTTACTGGAAACACAGTAATGATTCCCATTCAGGGGAAAATGTTTTACGTGTGAGTAATATATGGCCACTTGGTTGGATATTCATGAAAATACTAATCTTGTTGTGTTGATGAAGACACATCTACTGTTCTTCCCATTGGTCCTGTAATCTCAAGCTGTCTTTGAAGCTGCATGTGACAGTCCGAGACCAGGTATTTTATTCTGACCTCCAGGATACAAACAACTCATTTTTTTTCCTTTTTTGCTAGCAACCCCTGTATGCCAAGACCTTAACTCTGTTGTGCCAGCTTTGTGACACCAAGATTGCCATTTATGTGAGAGGAGTCCTGAGAAAGCGAGCTAAAATAGTTCTCCAAATATTTGCACAGCTTAAGCATGTAATGAGGACTAAAGCAAAACATCTAGTCTTTTTAGCCAGCTTCCCAGAGCAATACTGCTCTATTGCTTGCCACAGAAGTGGCCTGAAAATATTCTATAGAATAAGTTTATTCTAAAAATTTTCTTGCCATTTTCACTTCAGCAGTGCAAAAAGAAATAAAACAAAGGTGGGGATGCAGACAACAAGCCAGCCTTTAAGTTTTCGGTATTACTTCAGTTTCCAGAGTACTAGGTGGAGTACGTTTCAGCGATGCAATTGCATCATCAGTGCAAAGCCAGAAGGAGTGTTATTTGGGCCAAACATTGTTTGTGCCACATTTTGCTCCAAAGACTGACTTACATCGGCTTTGTTCTAGCTCCATCTCCTTAAGGAGACATTTTTAGAGGCTGTATTAAAGGAACATTACCAGTCCTCCTAATCATTCTGCCTTTTCAATGCCAGTTCCATATCAGCTAGTATTTCTCTTGGCAAATGGAACCCATTTAAAAAAAAAAAAAAAAAAGAAAAGAAAAAGAAAGAAAAAATAAATAAAGAAAAAAGGAAGATAAGGGAGGTGGAAAAAAAAAAGAGAAAAAAAGAAGAGGGAACTCTGGGGGTGATCGTGCTTTTTCCCTTTGTGACAGTGGGTTGTGGCAGGGCGGAGAATGTGCCCTAGAGATTAATTTCCTCTTCTTTCTCTTAAGTTCCTGTAGTTTCATAACGCCAGTCGGAAGGGTGGAGACCCCTTTTGAGTTTTTGACTTTTTTTTTCTTCCCAGCCAGACAGTGGGACTCTCACCTTCTGTCATGTGTTAAATTCCAGATGAAAAAATGGCTGCATTCTAAAAGCTTTTCCAGTCTGAGTTTTTTTGACCTTTTGACAAAACATCTTTATATCCTCTGACAAAATGTCTGAGAAGTGCGATCCTTTACGCAGTTTGCCATAGGTGCATGGTCAGAGGTAAAGATACGTCACATTTGATACAGCTCACCTCTACTTTTTGACTGATGTTAAGGCAGTACATTATTGCCATCCTTCTTTCATGGAGATGCCTCAGTCTCCTAATCTTTGCATGCTTTGTATTGTCTGTCGGGAAAACACAGTTTAAACATCCATTCCTACTAGTGATATGCTCATGTTTTTGAAGTGGTTTGATCGAGTAGTAAGTTTTAGTGGACATAAAAATACCTACGCTAGGGCCTTTATAGAGACTGAGAAGCCCAATAAAATGGGTGACATCTTCTGATACCTGGATTTCATCCCACTCATTAGTCATCTAAATAACAGTGCTAGAAGTATTTCAGAAGCTGAACATTTGAAACTGATTTTTTTTCAATATAATGCAAAATAGAGTGATCAACCTTACTACTAATAAAGAAAAACGAGCTGTATGAAACCAAAATGACTTTATATTTTTCATAAATGATAGTGATTGAAACCTACTCTTAATTTCACACCATGTTGATACCAGTGCAAAGTTGTCACTCGGTGACAGACAGTAACAGCTTTTGTAAAATAAACAGCTGCCTTCCCTGGTATTTTAGGATCCTTGATATCCAAGGATATCCTTGGTATTCTAGGAACCTGTCAGTGCAGCCAGATAGCCTGCAAATATGATGACTAGCTCTGGAGCCCCACCATTCATTTTATTTCCCATGAAACTGTAATCTTTTGATTGTGAATCGATCTATGAATATGATAGAGAGAGGCTGGTTATGCCTTCATAGCACAAGCATTTGTGAATGTAGATTGTCTGAAAAGAAGTCCTACAGCTGTAAAGCTGATCAGAAATAGAAAAAAGGACAAGTCACAGCTGATAATGTGGTATTCCAGGAATTTGAAAGGACCCAGTTACTCTGAGACACTGACTCATTTGGCAGAAGAGGTCCATGTACCTTCCTAGAAGTTCATCCTCTTGGATGGGAGCTGAAGACGGTCTATTCTGCCTGTTGCTATAAATCATGTAGTTACAGCTAAAAGCCGTATAGGTCCATCTGCTTCCCATTTCTGCTAGGATTCCTTAAAATATGAGAAGCAGTGTGTGGAATTAAGATAAAATAGATGGCAATCTGAACATATAAACAGAATTTCAGCCAAAACAATATGCTTTGTCCCATAACAAATATATAAACCCACTAGTACTATGAAATTCTGTACTGTGTTAATGGAACTTTCTTACATCCACATGCTGTTCTTCATTTTCAGTTAATCATCTCTGTAAGTTGCTAGTGAAAGGCTATTACATTACTTAGTCATCTTCCTCTTTTAGGCATTGTTGCTGTGCAGCAGCCTCTTTCTTCGTCTAACTTTGCTTGGGAAGTTCTATGAATTATAATCTCCTTGCTTTCCCATTTTGCTGTCCTTCTTCTTTTCCAAAGTAGATCTTAGTAATCAGATTTCTTGGACTGATATCCTTTGTATGCACAGTGTGTGTTTCTAAGAGAATATGCTATTTTTCCTGAAAGTATAGCTAGTTTTCTCGTTTTTGACTTTGATCTCAAAAGGGTTTATCTACAATTTAATGGCACCAAATGTTATAAATACAATGCTTAGGCCACATCTGTTGCCTCAAGTTACATCTGAATACAGTTTTACTTAGAGAGGATCATATGAAGCAGTAAGACTGCATGATCTTGTGTCTGATACATATATGAAAGTTTATAAATATACAGCATACTTACTATGCTGTACTATACAATATAAATATTCATCTATTTTCTTGATAATATGTATATAAGAAGACATATCTCTTCAAAAATCTCGATATTACTTTGCACTTTTATGTTTATTTAATTGTGATTTAGATCTTCTATCAACCATTTAAATATAGTTCATTTTAGCCTGAGCTTAAAATCGTACAGATTGATCAAAAATATTAAAATAAGTGGGTTCTGCAGTTAGGTCTCAAATGTCATCCCAAAAGTTTGATGCTGAATTTTCATGCAAATGTTCTTGCATACGAAGTAGACCAGATACGACTGTGTGTGAAAGAAACATTAACTAGTTCTGCCTTGTACTTCACTTAATGCAGAAAGGAAACTGTTGAGTTCTTGTCACTCTTGTAACTTCCAGTCACTCTGTTACTGGTCTTTTGAAAGTTGGTTCTAATACCTACATATGGTAGTCAGTACTCATATACAATTTCAGAGATTTGACATTTTCTTCATTCTGATAACTGGAGGTCTGCTCACATGCTCATCGTTGAGGCAGTCGAACACAGGTAAACACTAACATTTGGACACAAACTAATCTGGGTCATAGACAAGCGAGTATCAGAACGCTGTAAATGTTTTAGAGTGAAAATGTGAGAGGAAAATGAGTGGCTGGCCACTATGGAAGCAGTTTCACCGAGTAAGATGACTCTGAATTAATTCGCTTTAAACAAACCATGCACCCAAGAGTGAAGATGGTTTACAAATGTACACCTGGTTCTGGAATAGTTTGTCTTGTAAAAATGCTGTTTCTGAGAGTAAAATTTTATCTTGTAACCAAATTTGTAACTGCATGTATTTCAGATGTTTTATGCTAGTTAAATGTCAGTGTTTCTTGTTTTTTTGGCCTACTCCCCAGTGAGTGCTCAAGAGGTTCTTAAAAGAAGAAAGAATTGGGGATTCCTAAGCCATCAAATGTCGTGTTTTTATGAAGCAAAATAATTTGCGTGAGCCAAATGAAGGAGATAAAATGCTTTATTACTATGCTGGCCCACGGGAGTTGAAGCAATAGCACAGTGACTGGGGCCAGAGCCATATCCAGTGTTAACTTGGGGCAGGCGAGGAATTGGATTGGAGCCCTCTGTTTTTGTTACTAGGAAAGTTCAATTACTATTATGGCAGTTATCCCATGCTTTTTTCTTTCTTTTTTTTTTTTTTCCCTTCTTCTCTGTCTTCAGCTTACTCTAAGAGATAATAAGAAGTTAGTCCCTGTCACGATAATCAAACAAGGTAATTCTGTGTATTTTTTTCAGCTGATTCATATGCTCTGCAAGAGTAAAGCAAGTACTTAAATCTAATGGAAAACACAATATTCTTATTGATGAGAATGTTATGAGACCTTCCTTTTAAAATAAGCAGGAGCTTACAAAACATAATTTTCTTCGAGTACTAGTAAGCTGTTATCCATCTGTGTTAATAAAATGAGTTATTAAACTGCAGTTTAAAAATGACTTGCTGAACTACTGAACTGGATTCTAGTTAGTTACAGTTCTACTTGTATGTTTTTCTTCAACTGGATTGTGCAGATCTGTTGTTCTCCCATCTGTGAATAACAGTATTCGGGTATGAAAAGAAGCATCTATTTTGAAGGCACATGAATGGCAGGGAAATATGTTGGATTTGAGATCACTATGTGTTAGTATATGCAGAGAATGTCTTATTTCACCGGGGGAATCAACCTGATATGCTAGAGGAAAGAAGAGATGCACAGTTAAGAAATGATGCAGAAAAGAAACCCACAGTTTGCAGTTTTAAGCTAAATGTAGATATAGAAGATGCACTGATGGTGTCCTCATCTCTGAGTATTAAATTGAGGGAAGGCTTTCAGAATGCTGAGGGTTGTCTCTATGTGGTTTTGCTTCCGCCATTCCTGTGTTTTTTAAAATGATTTTCTAATATGCTGTGTGTTGTTTCTACAGTTATTCAGAATCGAACACTGTCAAAGACTTCAGATATTTCTTCTCTGCCAGGAGCAATATTAGGTGACTAGAAGATATTTTTATTATTTTTTTTATCCTCTGTGTAAATATCTTTGATTTTCTTGTTCTTGACATTTATTTCCTTACATAGCAAGTGATATTTTTGCATCTTCGTTCAGGGATGATGCAGCCTAACAGAAACAGGATGGCTTTATTGTTATAATATTTTGAGGAAGATGCTGTTAATGTTTGAGCTAAGAAATTCTTTCATACTTCAAGTAAAGTTCTGTGGCAAAGATCTTGTTGAGATCAGAGATTCTACATTTAAATTCTAAACTAGTAAGATACCATCTACACATATGAACCTGTACTAATAATTAGGCTCTAGTAATGTATGTTACATATCTCAGGGCAATACTGTTTCACTGAAGCCATTCATTTACATTCTTTTGGTTCTCACGTGACCTGCAGAAATATTCAGCAGTGGTTTAGAAAGGAAAAATGGGCCAATATATATCACATAATCCTTAGTTTGGTGATCTACTACTCTGCCTGGGATACATAAGAAAGGCTCATTCCGTCATGTGTCTTGTGAGAAATTTATTCCTAAATTCAGGGAAGTGTTCCATTTCATATGGAAATACTTTGTGTAGATTGGAATTTGACATAAGCTACTTGATGTGAGTTTAAGTATATTGACCAGACTTAAGCAAATACTTATAAACAATAAGGTTGGTGTTCTGAGCACACCAGCATCTGTGACACAATAGTATTCCAGAGTCATGTGCTCTACTATTTAATTGTTTTATTTTTTGCTTAATCGTGAAATGATGCTAATACAGGGCACCGTTATAAAGGGGAAATAGCGTAAAATGGGATTAATAATTACTAAATAAAACTAATTTCCTAGATAGTCAGGCTAAACTCCTGATGGTTCAACAGTAGTTGCTCATTTATCTAGGAGTGCAGATTGTGTGTTGTTTGTCCCTTCTTGAATTCATGGCTCACTCACCTCTCCGTGTAGTGCACCTTATTGTTCCAGGTCTCAACGAAACTCAACAGAAACTTCCTTCTCCCCTGGCAATAGACGACCTATCTCAAGCATCTAAGAAACAGATTGGTAAGCAGATATAAATTAAGCTCATATTGTTCATGAACAGTATCCGAAGTGTAATGGTGAGAATGTGTATGTAGGGAGAAGAGTTACGTATCTTCCTCGTTTATCTTTGTTCTTGCACTTACTTAATTAGCAGTTAGTTTGACATTAGAAGACGCAGTAAAAAAAACCACATGCTTTAAAATACCTTAAAAAGTGGGTTGATTTTTTTTTCTTTCTTATTTCTGTTTTGTTTTCTTCATTGGTGGCTGTGATACATTCTGAGACTGGTTTCCTTTGCAGTATTTGATCCTGTTAAGACAGCATGCGTGTGTCAGAGTAGAGGTACATGGTACTTGGATATGTAAATGAGGCTGAATTCCTTAAAAATCAGTATCTGGAGTGAGGTGGTATTTGCTAGCATTTGACAAGCAAAGGCTGTATGAATCAACTGTGGCTACTGAAAAATAAGGCTAAATAGGAAAACTTAATCACAGTATTTACATTACAGAGCATTATTGAATTGTGATAACTGTATTCCTTGCATTGCTAACTTGATAACTCGCACTTCTTTGAACAACAAATGGTAACAAACACCAAGGTTGTTATTGTTAGCCCAGTTTTAATATGTATATGATGTGCAGGTAACAAAAGAGGTGCTGTTAAACATCAGTAAATCATATTTTGACAAATCTGTCATACCACTTATAGAATGTTATATTATGAACTCTTTAGTTTTGGACTACTGTGTCTAGAACCTTTTTCATTTTCCACCAGTAAAATTATACCTCTCTGCAAGAAAATAATATTGTGTTTTAAAACAGGTCATAAGGTTCAGTAGTACATGCAGTAAAAATAGTAGAACATGAAGGGCTTAAGATGGGGAAAATGCAAAGGTAGTTTCAACTCCTCTGAGATGGCTGAGTGCAGAATTTGCATTCCTAAATGTAGATGTCCTGATTTGTCAGAGCAGATCTTGTGATGGCAGTTTGGAGGCACTCTGTGTGGTAGAGAAGCACAAACAGCTTTCTGAAAATAACCAGGGTAGACAAGTGATGCTCTGTCTTGTTTTGCACTGTTTACTATGTGTTCCACACCAGAGAACATCAAGTACATGGATGTATACTCAGGGGAATGATGAATTTCGGAGGAGTACAAAACAGGCAAGAATCATTTTGCTTGAAAAGCAAAATAATTCTGACAAATAATTGAAATATATAAAATAATTGACAAAAAGAAATGAGTTTTCTTCCATATAGTCCAAATATATGTATATATAAAATATAAATAAAGGACATATAAATGTCCTTCACTGATGTCTGAGAACGATGTATGGCTATAATAAAATTTAGTAAAACTTATGCTGTGTGTGAAGTTATGACCTTATGATGTATTGCAACTTTAGAAAAGTCAAAATAATGCCCCACAGGATATCATATTTGTTGAATTCTGTAAGCAATTCTTTAGTGGTTATTTTCTGTTTACTTAGTTTAAAACTTGGTAATTTTTTAAAATAATTATCCTAAAAAAACAGAAGAGAGTTTATGACACAATATCAATTGCCTTATTCCTCAGTGAACAAAAATCAACTATTATTCAAGTCAAAGCTAATTAATTTTCCCTAGATCCCCTACCAAAGTATTACTATTCCTATATATTCCAAACTTGTTAAATTGCTTTCAACAAATTAAATCCCATGATGCCCACTCCCACTTTTATATAAATACAGTAGGCTTTGGACTGGAAGGCTGTTGTCCTGTTACTGTAATTGATGATAAAATAGATAGATATATATGATAGATATAATATGAAGGGCATCATTGGTGTATTCGGAAATTTGTTTAAATAACTCATTCTGTATTGAAACTTTGAATTTTGAAAAGCATTATTATTGTTAATGCTGAAATACTAGACAAATGAAGAACTCACTCTGAAAGCCATTTTGCACTGTGAAACTAATGGCATTAAATTTCTCACTGTAAATGTTATTCTGAACAAAACAATAACAAAAATGCATGCTTGTTTAAAATAGTTAGACAGATGCTTGTACCTGGTGTGGAGAGAGAAGTTCGTTGGTTCTAAAATGTGAAGCTTTCCACATTTATCCGTGTTGGTTTACTTTGGCAAACTGAAGTGAGACAGAAATAAATCTGTAGTGGAACAGAGCAGATGAAGCTTTGCTCTAACCTCTTTGTCCCTTTAGCTAAGAATGAAACGCAACCATGGCCTGCTGAATCCAAAACACCAGAAGTTCAAGAAATCTCCCCACAGGCCCTGCCAGGTAATGAGAATTCTGTTTTTAGAAACCTTATTGAATGTCTTTGCCAAATAATACAGAAAACTAAAGTTAACTCAGTCTTTATGTTATTTAATCTGTGGTTGTGGGCAGGAGTTGGAAGGCGGGAGCGTAATGTAGCTGAATTAGTAGCACAGAGTGCTATGCTGAACCTTATTTTGGAGCAGATATCTGAATGCTCCAATGGCTAAGTTGGTAAAAATGCTTGGAATTAGAACTATACCTCTGTGAGGTGCTAGATTCCTTAAAACTAT